GTTTGGTATTTACATGAATCCCTCAATTATAAAAGTATCGTTTTTTTCAGTAAACTCTTTAAGAAGAACGCAAATTTTTTATTACAATTCTACAGTGTCATCTACAATATATATATGAATATGCAAATTTGTTTCGTTTTCAGTTGCATTCGCTGCCTCAAAAATGATACTTTTCTCCGTCAGTTACAACTCCAACAAGTTGTAAGATTTGAGTATTCAAAGACGTAAATTGGCTAATGCGGTGGTAGAAATGCTCATATTTGTTAATAGGCCCTACACGACCCCACTCGTTAAGAGGTAAAGATATACCTACCAAAAAACTTTTATTCATAAATGAAACGAAAAAATTTATTTACATTTGTTTTTACATATACTTTTTTTTTTTTTTTATGAATTTTTTTGGAGCAAACTTCGAATAATTTTACAATTTAAAACATAAAATTTATAAAAATGGATACACAACTTGCGAATATAGAATATTAAAAAAATTAATAAGTAAAAATAAAATGAATACAAAATTTAACACAATTTATACGATAAAACATACCAATAACCAAACATTACAAGTTTTAAAGTTAGCGCTATTCCTTGCTTTCTTTTGCTTTAACGAAACTAAGACGTCTTCTAAATTCTGCCCACACTTCACACATTGCAGGTTTATCCAAACATTTACATTCCACAGGTGGGAGCGCATCCAATTCGCATTTTTTGCATTCTGAATAGCTTGGATATGGAGCTGGATCTTTCTCACAATTACTTGCAGACTTTAATTGATGGCAATTCGGTGGAATACGGCCAGGGGGACAATTACCTAACATAAATCGTGGACATTTGCTTTTTGTTTCACCTTTTTTACACACCATTAACCCCTTAAGTTTATTAGGCTGCGGGCAAGCAGTTTTGGGTCTTACTCCCTTGCCTCGCCTTACTTTCTTTTCTACCGTCATCCCTCCTATATCACCGCAGCATACTTCGACTTCTTTTATTTTCAAATGCGGACATGCTATCCATGTCTGTTGATATTCGCGATTCAGTTTGTCAGATGTTTTGTAGTACAGTTCGTCCAAGCGTTTTTCTACTTCCGGGCAATGCTCAAGACAACATTCTGGGCATTCCCACATACCGCAAGTTGGTGGTTTTTTTATTCCTTGTTGCAGTCGTCTTTTTTTCTCGGGGCATGGCGGCTGTTTTTCTAAATGTTCTGGTTTGCATTTGGGCTCTAAGACTTTCGCACAATCTTTACGGGAAATATATCTAACGAAATTTCGTACTGGCGCTATAGTGCAAAAAACGCGCTCCCAACTCTGTGAAATATTTGACATTTTCTCGTCTTAGCTTTCGTTTCTACTTCTACTTAAACATCCAGGGAAGAAAAAAAAGAGACAATTTAATTTTAGATTCCGAAAACTTAACGATTGAATAGATTTTAATATAAGAATGAAAAGAAATCAAAAAAATCTGACTTCATTTTCAATTCAAACGTAATTTGATTTTTTTTTTTTTTTTGTTTTTGTTGAAAGTCAAGTAAGGTATGGTTTTCATATTATAACGTTAAAATTATAAAACAAAAATTCTGCATGAAATGCGATGCCGATTGACTACTTGTGCCTGTAACTTATTAAATAAAACGCATAAATTGATTTAAAACGTCTTCACTTAACGAGCAGCGGCTAAAAGTTTTCTTACAATGGGCCCCATAGCGCCCTGCTTCGTGTGCTTCCCAGTAACGTGTTTCAACATTAGGTTGTATAGGCCTACAGAAAATATGGAAGTATATGAATATTTATAAATATACTAATGCTATAAAAACAATTAAACTGTAATACAATTTGAAGAAAATTATGGCTTCATCTCTGAGAGATTCTAAGGCTAGTGGCACGTGAATGTCATTGCAATATTGTTGCAGGCACGTAGACTTCAACTAAACTTCAATAAACAAAGAATCGCATTGAGGAGAAGCACTCAAAAATTCAGGACATGACAAAAATGACAATTTGAAAAAAATTGACAAACTTAAAAAAATGTTTGTAATATTTAATCATCTTGTTAAATCCTGGCAGGGGCCTACTTCGCGGGCGTGGCTGCTTGGTCAGAACGGATGCAGAAATATCTAGGTTTAATACATTGATGACAGTAAGGTTTCAATATTTCCAGCAGAGAAATCGAGCATAATGTATGAAAGATAAGATTTAAGCGGTTATGTTGAAATCATAATGTTTATTTGAGGCAGTTGGATCTTTCACATTAGAATAGTTCAACGGACCATCGTGCCTGTAACGAAAATAAATGCAAATGGTACGGATTCTCAGGTAAACTAAAAGCTGGACTGGAATATTTAAAATTATCTTCGGGAATTTGAAGGAAGGTTGTATTGCAGTAAGTTACGATCGAATAATTCATTGAAAAACACAACAGCTCGGTTCCCGGTCTCGTCACAGTTGAGGGCGGCATTTTTATTATAAATAGAGATATCCGCATTTAGAGGAACATAGGAGCAAGTTACATATATCATCAGCACTCTCGGCCAAAGTATTTGGCAAAACACCAGATACATTTACGCTCTTATTCACCACACGGGTAGGCAATTTAGCAGTAGAATGTGTAGACATGATTCGCTGCTGGGCAGAACTGAATTCACTGACAACGCCAAGGTTATCCGAGTGAACAAATCCATCAAATAAAGTCCTAATGAACTCCTTAGAACATTAAGAAGCTTTAAGAACACACCAAGTTGCCAACTCGAAAAGTTTAGATATTCACACGAAGTAAAAAATTCATCGTACATATTAAACTTCGTAGTTAAACTGACCAACTCCTTTTTCGCTTCATTGAAAGCAGCCTCTGTCTGCTATGAAGGAATTGCTGTTCTCTTTTCGACCGCTAGGACATGACTAAGGCAAACCATTTGACCTATTTGCGCTGAAGTTAAAGTGTCCGCCACTAAAATCCGCACATTTATGTTGCGCCAACACGCCAAAAATTGTTGCGAAGTTACGATTTTCACAGTTCCCATTGCCTTTAATTATAGACGTCAGATAGCAGCAGCCGATACTCCTCAATTTTGAAATGTCGTAATGCATTATCCAAGTGGAAAGAAGCGATTTAGCTTGAAGTTTAAGTGCACAAGAGAGAACAAATAAGGAAATGAAACAGAGTATTTTGAGAGCTGTTTAATTGTTTCCTTTTGTATAAATTATATAAATTCTTACAATCTCCCAAAAGCAGACAACGCTTATTGAACTAAAACTTTATAATGTTTATAGCATAATGTTTATTTGCACTCCAAGAATTCCTTTCCAGTTAACAAAACCTTAATTTACTTTATTGTGATAAATTTTTTTCGGGAAGAAAAAAAATGTAGTAACACACAGCACAGTTTTCGCGTTTCATGTGTTGAGATATGACATCGACAACTGCATAGGGAGTAGCCCTTTTTATGATTTGTATTGAGTCCAATGTGAAAATGAGATCATAAATGTTCATATTTTTAAATTCCATCATAAGTGCGTTATACAATTTACAGTTTGATCCCCATTGATTAAGTTTTATGAGCCGAAAGTTACTAGGTAGACGGACAACAGTATTGAAATTAATTTCATTTAATAGAGCTGGTAAATCCATTACGCCTAATTAACTTGTCTAAAATGCTAATGCCTAAAGCGAACCTACTCTTTCCCCGTGAACGTATAGCTGTTCGTAGTAAGATGGTGTCATACGGTGATAATGAAGCCTGAGAGATTCCTCGCAAAATCCTTAACACAAACGGTAACAATTGTTTTGCCACTGACTCAGACCTTGCGACGAAAGCGTATTCAAATGTAGGTCTTACCAGCGACATATAAAAAATTTTTTGCAATATATGGGTCGTGAAATTCCTTCGACTAGCGTTTTATGAAATCAAATACCGAATTAGTGTTGCTGCTAGATATTTCAATGTGGAAATTAAACAGAAGCTTGTTATCAAAAAGTACCCCAACATGTCGAACACCGATAGATTAAAACAATTTCGGAAGTGCACTCAGTTTCGCAACATCTCTGTAATTTAATGTAAGTATCTATTGTCGTTTTTATGAATTGGTATAAGAAATCTGGTTTTCCAGATTATTAGGACCGTGCATAGTTTTAGCCAGAGGCTAAACATTTTCGCGAGGATGGCACAAAGCTTCTCAACACATGATAACGGAATGCATGTGGGGATGCCATCAAGACGTACTGAACTTGAATAGTGCAGTCGTTTTAGGCTTTGACAAATTTCTTCATATGAACTGACAACCTCGAGACACTAATCGTCTTTTTTTACGGAGAGTCAATAACGTGGCCATTCCGATGTGATGAGAAGGTGCTTTCGAAGAATTTCGCAAAAACATTCGCGATCTCGAGAATGTCTGCTCAATCGGATCTATCAAACGATGAATACGAAGGTAAGCAATTGAATCTGTGCCTTACTGTTGCATATTTCGAATAATCTTTCATTGACTAACTTTTCAAGAACTTCTTGTAGAGCCTTTTTTTATTCTTGAACGTCTTTGGCTTGCCATTAACCTCATACAAAATGATTCGAACATGGATGAGAAGATTTTGTCATAAAAAGGAAGATAATAAAGTATGTATATATGGTCAATTGCGTAGTCCACAACAAGCGTCGGCAAAAATTTCCGTAGTATAGGAATATTTATTTTGTTGAGCGCAAACTTTTTGAGGCTAGTGGTAGGGTTAAGTCAGTTATGGAGTTGACATGGAATGTAATTGATTGAGAAAATAATTCTCGGTGATATGAGTCTTTCGGCGTTATAAAAGGATCACTATGATTTATACACAGTTTGGGTACAATTGAAAATAGAAGGTCCAGCTACCGTTTACTGCAGTTTGTACCATGGTTATATTGAAGAAGGCCACAATTCGAGAGCCCACTAATGAACAAATTAGCTCTTTCCGATGATGAGATCGGAAACACACATCTTATTTCCTCCTTTAAATAAAAAAGGTTTCTATTGCCAATTATTAGACAGAGTTTCTAAATCGATAAGGGATAAGAATTTAAACAGGTGTGATGGGGAAAGTGCTCCAGCAATTAAGAACCCCGATTTGATAAGGTCTATCATTCCTGAAAACTTGAAAATTATTTGGAAAGACTTCTGCCGAATGAAGGTCAGATTTAATCAAAATTTCGGTAAAAGTAAAACGAGATATATTTGCTGGGGGGATTACAGCGCATTGTACCATAACGTATGTGTGGTAACATCATACGCCGTATGCGTCAAATCTTAGCTTTTTTTCTCAATTTCGATAATTGTGAAGACCCTCACTCATGAAGTAGACAAAAATTAATTCAGAATCTCAAGATACTTAATATGATAGCGAAGTCACTAAATTAATTCACCCACCGCAAATAGATCGTTTAACTTACATGAATACTGCGTTGACTATTTTATGTAAAATATAATAAACAGAATCGCTCAAATCGGCGTTAAGAGGAGTACGCGACAAATCGCAAATGAATCTCTGCAAGCACTCCTGGTTATTTAAAGCATCAATGCTATTATATGGAAGGAAAGAGAATAACTTAAAAAAAATAGTAAAAAGTTATATGAAGAGTGTCCGAACCCTTGATGTCCATTGTCTCGATTAACCGCAGGACTTTCCACCTGACGTGACGAAATATTTACCTGCCCCTCTGTGATCTCTTCTCTCATTTATTCTTGTGTTTAATCTCCAGGTCACAATTTTTGAGGTATATTGATAAAATGAAACACTCTGGGCGCATTTTGCAAAGAATCCTATCGAAAATGC